TCCTGTTGGAAGTAGCCATCAGAAGATTGGTACACTGTGGTCATAAGGACATAGGTCAGCATGCTAAATTGGTATTAAGTGGCCCAAAGTGTGGCAATAAATATCCCCCAAATAGATGGTAGAAATAGATCAGGCTCAGTATAGCCTAATTATAGACTCTTACATTTTAGCTTGAATTGATTTATTTAATTAAAGTACGCTAGATTACTGTGTATGCAAATGTTATGTAAAAAAATACACAAAATAATTTATTTCAAAAATTTGTTTTAATCAGAATCAGTTGGCTGTAATGGCGGTTGGCAAACAATTTTTTTTTTTTAGATTTCCACTTTTTTTTTTTATTGAATATATAAGAAAACAATAACAATCTCAAGTAACAAGTCAATAACAAATATTTCAATACAAGAAGAAATATCACAACTCCTGCTTTTGAAAAATACTATTAAATGCACAGGCTGGAACAAAGTATAAAATAAAATAAAATAAATAAAAATAAATAAAATAATAATAGTAGTTAAAGTAAATTAATCAGTGGGGACTACCAACTGAAATTCTTCAATTAACTCAAACAATTTAATTGCATTTAAATTTTGCATCTTTCTCAGACATCTTTTGAAAAGGGAAAGTTCATTTTTGAGAGCAGAGATTGAGAGGGAGCATTTTGCATAGCGACATTTATGGATATAATACTTTGTTACAATTATTAGAATATTGATTAAAAATTCCAATTTTTTTTTCTTTAATGGATAAACCGAATTGAATGTTTTGCCAGGAAATAAAATCTAAATTTATTGTTTTAGAAGACAGAAAGGTTCGAAGTTGATCCCATAAGTTTAATACTTCTTTACATTCATAAAAAAGATGTTTAGTTGTTTCCAATTGAGTTGTACAAAAGCCACAATTCTCAACATTAAACTTAAATCTCTCTCTTAAAAACTCATTTGAAGGATATATGTTATTTATTATTTTAAATTGTAATTCTTTATATTTAGGAGGAATTGGGAATTTCAAATAATTTGTCCTAATTTTGACTATCATAGATTTCTTAAAATTTTGTAAGAGAGCTGTGCTTTTTGTTCTTCCTGGGTACATATTATTTATAGAATATTGATTCAAAAACTTGTTGTTGCATTTATTATCTCTAATGTCCACCTGCTCAAATTCAATCTTATGGAGTCTAGGAATAAAGGAATTAGGTAAACTGTTTTTAATAGAATGAATGAGGACATCAGGGATACTACGTAAAACTGTCTTATAAATTCTTAGTGAACAATCGTTTCTAAACTTCCTGTTAAAATCCTCCAAACTTAGAAAATCACCATTACCATTTGGCAAACAATTTATAGGTAAATTACCATAGATATCCATAATAATTTATTATGGATATCTATGTGCATTACCGCCACCTTCCAGAATGGAGCGACGCGAGCTCTTCTCGCGAGTCCTTCCGTATAACAATGACGTCGTATGTGATTGGAGGAACCTGATGAGCCTTCGGCCCCATCGTCCAATCACGTGTGAGCTTTTGTGCACTACGACTACTCGCGAGACCAGCATATAAGCAGACATGTTTGTGTTACTATACTCAGAAGAACTTCATTTCCAGTTAACGTGTTTGTATTTTGTTGTTACGTGAACAATGGCTGCACAACGTCTCGCGTTCAACTCGCCTCCAACTGCTCTTAGTCCACAACTTTCGGCCAGCCCGCAGACTGACGAGAAGAAACTGCTGATTGCTATCAGCGGACTGTCTCGTCAGCTTACCCAGCATACTGCCGACATGAATGAGCGGCTCACTCAGCTGGAGAATTCGATGCACTCCAGGTTGCCGTCCATAGAGGACAAGATGGCGGCTCTGCAGTCGAGCAACTTTGCGGGATATACGAACTCGAGGAAGAGAAGACGGGTGCACAACGCCACGCTAGCGGTAAATATATGTTCGATTACTGGTAGCTATGCTAAAAGCAGCCTAGCTTAGCTAGGCAAGCTAAAGACAACCTAGCCTAGCTAGGTAAGCTAAAAGCAGCCTAGCCTAAAGCTTTATTAAAGTGTATTTTTTGTGATTCACAGGAAGCAGTACGCCGTCTTCACAACTCGGAGACTAATTGCAGGCGCTATGAACCGGAGCAGGGGTAAGATTTAAAGAATATGCTTTCATTCTGCGGTAAAAGGACATGGATACGGATAAATACCGACCATAGCTGTACTTTTTTTTTTTTTTTCACAGACTACCGTCGCCTCACAATGAGGCGGTGACCTCCTATTTGCTCCGAGCCATCTCGGCAAGTCCAGATTTGCACGATGTTGTTAAAGACGACATTGTGTGTAAGTGACTTGTTTTAATGTTTTCTCCTTCCTTGTTACTGTGACTTGCGTTTGATTTTTTTTTATTCATACCACTCTCATTTGTTTTCCAGCTGCCTGTAAGACGTTTTATGAGACGGTATGCAGGAGCTTCAGGTACACGCAGCTAGCCAACACGCTGCGTGCGGAGGCTGCCAGGCAATCTGCTCGGAGTCGGGCCAGAAGAAAGAGGGTAAGACTTTATTTGGTGACTATTTTTCAGGTGTATTGATAGAGGTGTTGTGTCCATATGCAGTGCGCTGATTCATTTTTTATTTTTTTTTCAGCTGCTGAAAGCGAGGCAGAGTGTGCTAGCAGATGAGGAAGTGGAACTCTGGAAGTCCGCCACCGTCGACCTCATGTCCGACGAAGAAGACGGCGTCGTCGGCGTGTCTCTGCATGGATTGTACGGTCGCCGCCATTTCGTAGGCCGGATCTCACTGAACTATGTGTTAAGCTGCAGTCCCGGTTAGAAGCAATGCCGAAGTACAGGGCCACGCACAGTAGGCGTCTGCACATCGGACCGTCCTCGGAGGGAATGCTGGCAGTTACCTCCAACCCCGAGGAAGCAAACGGACCGTTCACGGACTTTTAATTTTTAGAAACGCATGTGTTTGGATACGCGTTGTATATAGTTGTGTGTGTGTGTGTTTCAATAAAGCTCTTTCTTTGCATAAACAACTTCCTGGCAAATGTTCATTTCCTGTATAAATTCATTCATGTCCTTGATGGTAGCATAATAATTGTGTAGTAGTGTAGGATAACATAAATACACACCATATGAATGAATAAATATATGAATGAATAAATATATATATATATATATGAATAAATATATGTACATTTATATGTAAATATATATATATGCCAACCAATCACGAGCGACTTTACTTGTTTAAAAAGAAGTGGTTCCGTCCAATACTCAGTAACCCCTTGCTCACACTGGCTCCGGTGCGGTTACCGAGCCGACGGAGACCGCAACTCCCGCACACCCCCTCTCACACCGCCCTTTTGACTACGGTGCGGCTCTGCGGCTCCGGCAACAGGTCCGGAGATTTAACAGAAGTTCACTTGAGTTCACGTAACTTCACGCGATAACACGGGCCAAATAAGGATATTTGCGAGAGCTTGTTGTGGAGGGCTCCGGCACGCCGCAAGGATAGCTTTCTTGCGGAATTTTCTGCAGCGCCGGAGTGTCTCGGTAACCGCAGCCGGACAGCTCAGCAGCCGGTGAGAGAGGTTTACGTCTTTTTAATGACTTGGAATCACTGCGGCGCCGCAACCACCGCACCGCAACGGTAAGACCGGAGTCGGTGTGAGCCTGGGGTAAGAAAATTAAAGCCTGGTGTGGCCACGTGTGGTTTTGCTGCCAATCACGAGCGATTTCATTTGTTTGAGAATAGTGGTTTCAGCCAATACTGAGGTTATTCAAGCCAGACCTGGCCAGCCGCGCGGGTTTGCTGCATTCATATGCTAATTAGGGCCATTAGTACAGCTGATCGCTCTCCACATACGTCATGGTCCGTTTCCGACAATTTGTGGCACGACAAACGCGGACAAGCACAAGTTGCAAATTGTCGGAAACTGACGAAAATCAGGCAGATCTGCGGGAGTTTACGGGGACGAAAATCTCACTTTTCATGCAGTGTTTGACAAAGATAGACGAGGACCCAGCAAAGAAGAACTGAACAGCAAGACTATTTATAGGAGACAGAAAAAAAGAGAGGTCTAATGAGCAAACTGAGAGCAGGTGTGCACAGAGCAAGAGAGGAAAAGAGCTGGGGAAAAAGGAGAACATAAGAGGGCAGCAGAGAGCAACAAATAGAAACCAGAAAAACACAACAAAATAAGAGTTAAACCCTTTAAACTAGAAAAGAATGAGTAAAGCAAAACTGGATACTCAAAAGAAAACATAACAGAACCAAGACTGAGACAGTAACTGAGAAAAACCCAAGGAACACAACAAAATCAAGAACTAAACCATAAAAATCTACAAAACAAAGAGCAAAGCAAAACTGAATATCAAAAGAAAAATATAACAGAAACAGAAACCTAACAATTACATCTTGAAGAAACTCACCTCCTCCTCCCTGCCTCTGCATCTGGAATGCAATTGAAAATTATATGGCACAGCTGCTAACCTTCCAAGCCAGAGATTAACCAGGTGGGAGTAAATGCTAGTAAATGCTGATCCACTTTCGGATTTTTTGTTTTATTTGTTGAAAACGTTATTTTCCTTCCACTTCACAAGACAAATAGGCCAAATTAGATAGTAAATGCAGAACTGTATAATAAAATGCATGTTTTTTTCTGTTTATAGGGATGAACAACCTGATATTATTATTTACCCATTAATTAGTTTTCTAAATTGTGGTGTAAAATGTTCACCTATCTGTCAAAGTTGTGGGGGAGATGTGAGATGGGGATTAGATGACTGACTCCTGCATCCTTGCTAAAAAAAAAAAAAAAAAAAAAAACGGGGATCTGTTTGATCTATTGAAGCATGTTTGGTAAAAATAACCAGCAGATCTCCAGATTATTTCATTTTTTGTGGCAATTCTTCCAAACGATGTGGCAAAAAGGGGGTTAACGTCCAAAATGGCCACCGTACCCTCCTCCTCGTCATCCTCAGCAGCAGCAGCAGCAGCATCACCTCTGAAGCCCATCCCCTAGCGTCGGTCCGGGGATCGCTCCCTGCATGCGCATGGGCGGAGGAAGTGCCGCTGTGCGCTCTTATTTCTACGGGTAATTTGTCCTTTTTTTAAGAAAATGGCGTCTGGTCAGGGAAGTGTAGGAGCTGTCACCGCTTTACAAAACCATGACTACCCCAGCGGCCCCCTTTGGAGCCCCGGTATCGGCCAGTACCCCCACCACCAGCAACAGCAGCAGCAGCAGCACAGTGCGCGCAGCCTGGACCGCGCTCTGGAGGACGCAGCCAGCTCGGGGATCCTGAACCTGAGCGGCAGGAAGCTGAGGGAGTACCCGGGGACCAACTACGACCTCACCGATACGACACAAGCAGGTGAGTCGTTGGTTGGGGAAAGGCTGGGGGGGCCGCAGATCCAAACCATAAACGCAACCTGCTCGCATTGTGCGTGAATCTCTGATGCGGGGCTCAGCCTCCAAAAGGATGAGGCGTAACTGACCTGCATAAAACCATAACATCCTGCTTGTTTTTACCGCCTCTGTCATATATAACACCTTTTTTTTTTTTTTGCACCTCTGCCTATTTTTCTCTCCTTGTCTTTTGACGTCAGTAGGTTTCATTATTTCTACCCTGGAGGCGCGTGAATGAGACAGCAGGCGCACCCAACAACAAGCAGCCAGTTGGATTTAAGACTCAGTTCATTTTGCACCAGGCAGCAAATTATGAATGAACCAAGTAGACACTGGCTGAACGCTGCTTATCCTTTGTGGGGAGCATGTGGCGCTGAGTGCGTTTTTTGGGGAGGCAGACAAAAGAAGGGTACTGGGAGCCTCACCCCCTGGCTGCATGCATGCCTGTGCTGTTTTATGTCCATATATTTAACAATCTGTCAAACAGAAAGAGGGGGGTGTTGGTCTCATGTTTTCCTTAGGCTCATTTAATGGTTTCTGTCTGAAAGGTGACCTTATAGTCAGTAGGTCAGTCACGTTCTCTCAGGGCTGTGTACCTTACATACCAAGTTTTACTTGGCATTCTTGCTTTGCACTGGGCTTGTTTGCATGACACATGCAGACCCGGTTGGAATGAGATTACCATGGTATGATAACCTTGAGGGAAAAATAAATGGATTTCATGGTTTGCATTGAAATATTAAGAACAATGGGTAGAATTTGATCTAATTGCCTCTACTTTCAAACAAGAAAGCAGATTCTATTCCTGGTAATGCTTTCTTGAGGAGAGACGGGCATGTGTATGGATAATTATCTCCCGATTTATTGTTTTATTGATTTTTCCTGTAGCTTATAACCTTTGCATTAAACATTTAAACAAACAAAAGTGAAAAAGCAGCGGAAGAAGGGTAAGGTTATTTTTTAAAAACAACCAATAGAATAAAAAGCAAAGGTAACTGTTTACTCTGAGTTTGGTTGAGAATTTTTACTCAAATTTTCTTAGTAAACTGTTTCTAATTTCAATGATGCAAAGAGAGAGATTCGGTAATATCTATTGGATTTAATGGCTGAGATCAAACCCATCATATCCATGTTGAAAGCAGCAGTGATTCAACCTACATCACCGGCCACATGGCTTTCCTGACAGTTCTCATACTGCTTACCCAACAGGGCTGCACAGTTGGTCTGAATGGAAACTGCTGACTTTTTCAAACAGAAAAAATAGGTAAACATGATTGTGACGGTTTATAAACAGTATGTTTCAGGATGCTGTTTTCTTGTTCCAAAAGGTTCTCTGAATGGCTCAGCAGAGCAGTCATTAGGATGGCCAAAATGTTTGGGTACTTTTTAGATTTTTATTTTTCATTACCTGCTGTTATAAATAATGGTAGGATTTACCCTTTAGAATTTAGTTAAATTGCTAATTATTATGTAAAGCAAATTTTTAGAGACATTGTGTTTAACATCCACCAAAATCATTCCTTACAGTGAATAGATACATCAAGCTTTAAAACAACTATATCTCACTAGATTGGTGCCGCCTCACTTTTTATTTATTGCCTCTTTTTCATTTTGAAACAGTTTAATTTGTTTTCTTGTAAACGAGGGAAATTCTAGACTCCGTGTTGGATCCAGCCATCAGATTGACTGTATGGTCTAGTGAACGATAAAGTGCCTTGAGATGACATGTGTTGTGAATTGGCACTATAGAAATAAACTGAATTGAATTGAATTAGCAGTGCTCAGCAGCAACAAGTGTGGGAGGGGCATCCTGGCATTCACTCTGTGCTCTGTTCATTCACTAAAAGCTCCTCTTGCTTCACAGGTTGCTGCAACATCTTAAGTAAAAGTACTTCAAAATCAGTTTTCTGTTTTGATTTTTAAACTCTTTTTCTTTGTATCATTGGATTAATTGAATTATTGGTTATTAAATCCCATCAGCCCTGATTGGTAGATATTTAAATCTTCTCCAACTCATTGTTTTCGGACTCAGAAATAGTTTGCATCCAAGAGATTACAAATCAACCCGTGCTATAATTAATGACATTTGATGGACAGGATGTATTAAATATACATCTTTTTAAATACTAACTGGGTGAAACAAAGCATTGCCAGTCTTTGTCCTCATTATGAGATGCTGGATCTTACAGGCAAAATCTCGTCCTCTGATGTGTCCACCTGCCATATGGCAGCACTTTATCATCAGCAGCTCATGCTTCTGACAGCCCCTTGCCTGCGTTAGACCTCCAGGGACTTCATAGTGGCACGTTTTTATTTTTTTTATTAAACTGACTCATTTTAAGTCATAAGAAGCGTCAGAAGCTATAAAACAAACGCTTTATGACAAAATATATATATATATATATATATATATATATATATATATATATATATATATATATATATATATATATATATATTGGTGACCTTTTAATTGATTGACTTGTTGAAAGAATTTCCTTACCTTTAGATTATAATAATTTTCTAAGTTTCTGTTAAGACTGAGAACATCTTCACATGCTTGCAGAGCTAAATTCATTTCACCTAACAAGCTGGATGCTTTGTTAATGGAAAATCACACTGTAACAATCAGCAGATCTGTTATCTCCAGGGCGTTGTGTTTTCCAAGTATGAAAATCAGACTTTCCTTTCACGCCAGTAAAATCCTTTACTTTTCATGGAGACTAATCCAGTAACAGAGCGAACTGCTGTGTTTTCACTTCCTTTTCATGTCTGCATAGCGGTAGTCTGAATAAAGGGTTGTGCGAGAGGGAAGTTAAACTTTCAGTTTTGCAACTACAACTACAAGCATCTCATTCCTGCCTTTCAGATTGACTGATTAAAGAAGCTCTTTCAGATTTAATCTGAGAATTCATTATGTAAATTTCTGCTTTGTTTCTGCAGCTTCTGCTGGTTTCCTTAGAAAACGAGCAACATGTCTGCTGAACCCCTCCTACCATCATGTGTTTTGTTTTACTTTAAACCATGGCTGTTTTAGCATCTAACAAGTGACCTCCATATGACGGCGTATCAACAAGAGCAGGGAGGCTCCATAACACAAGGGTGTCTGTTTGCAGGGTTGCTGCCGGCAGTTTGGCTCCACTCGGTTTGTTTTCCCATGAGAAAAAGTGACAGCTCTGTGTGACGCTGCCCTCACCTTGTGCATTACTGCAGGACACCAACACACAAAACTGGTCCAATATTTGGGTTAATAGAAGAGGCGAACGCTGCCTTGATTAAGCATTTCTACACTATGAAAGTTCCCCGTTGTCTTTGCTACGTCAATGTGCACAGTATTGCAATGAAGAGGGATAAATGCCGGCAATATAACTGGTTGGATAGACTTTCACTGACCTTGATAACAACACTTGATTTTTATATGAGAAGCCCAGATGCCATAAGTTATATAGAGGGAGCTCTCTGTGAGATTACAACAACAACAAAAAGTTGCACACCAAGCAACCGTCGGGGGATTGAGATGAAGGAAAAGATAAAACAGTTAAGGAAATGTAGGTTAATCTGAATCACTATCTTTATCCTAATATTCAGCTATGATTTTTAATTACATAGTTTCCTGATATCATGCATACCTAAGAGATAGATACTCATTTATCTCTGATGTTAGATAAGTATTGGAAACTGCCTGTTCAACTTTGCAAAGCAGCCCTATTCTGGTCAGAATGAATGGAGAGAATCTGTGGGGTGATGCTGGATGCAGGAGTTTTCCATGCAACTGAAGGGTTGTCAGTTCAAGCCCCAGCTCTGGCTTTCAGTGTCGTTTTATCTTTGCATTGCCTACTGATGATGCTCAGAGGCCCAGTGGTTGGTGCTTGTGTATGACAGCCTTGCCTCTGTCAGTGAGCCCCAGGGCAACTGTGGCTAAAATGTAGATATCAATTCAGCCTGTGAGTGTGTGCGTGAATGGGTGAATAACTGAATGTTGTGTAAAGTGCTTTGGTCAAGTCTCCTGACTTGAGAGGCTAAATAATCACAATGTTTACACATCTGTAAAATAGTGTTCAAGTATTTGCCACAGATGTTTAATTGACCTAGACTATGCCATTCCAGCACACGAGTTATGTACTGATAAACCATTGCAGTTTTGCCCTAAGATTGTTTTTTTCTGCAGGAAGGGGGTCCTCTGGTTCAGACTTTTTAAGGGATTCTTACTAGTTTTATTTCAGAAATATCCTTTATTTAAGGTGTGTGTTTGGCTGCAGCCTTGAGACTTTCTATGTCATAGTGCTCACCTCATGGCACTCATCTTATGTCACACATCTGATGGCGATCTTATGGTTAACTTACAGGTACATAGTAAAATCATTTGACACTTTTAAAATGTATATGCCAGTAGTTGCATACAACATTTTTATGCCAAATTATGTCGGCCTGTTGGCACAGTATTTACAATTTTTCTCTTTTAACTTTGTTTTTGCTCAATTTGTCAGTAGATATAGCCTTTTTTGTTTGCATTTATAACATCATATGACTAGGATTTCATCACTGCGCAAGTCTACAGTTAGGCATTATAGGTGAGCGAGTGTTGAACACCTTATATAGTTGCAAAGAAAAGAAAAGCCCAAGATCAGTGTTAAAAGGCTAAAGAAGATATTTGATTCCAAGAGGGATAAAAGTCAAGTTGCATTGGGAAAACATTTTGACCGTTGGAGTATACTAAAGTTGGAGCGAAAGCTCAGGAAGCCTTCTGATGTTGCTGCAAAGTTAATGGACAGTGTGGTTAGTGTGTCCTCTCTAGCAGTGTTACTGGTGTTTGCAATGCTTTTAAGCTCTATCCTCTGAGACAATACAGCACAGTCAGCACGATCGGGACTTATTTAGTAGGTGCCAATATCTGGCTTTCTGGTAGTTCAGTAGTACTGCTGGTAGATGATGCCAGGTCTGTTTATCTGCTCATTGCCCAGTGCT